TCTCAGGGACTCTAGCAAACATAGAAGCAGGATGAGTAGTCATACCATCAGAAATGTAACACGTGACTGTTCCCTTTCTGGATGTTTCTTGGAAATTTCTATTTAGCTCTGATTGAATGAAATATTCCCTAGATTTTTCAGGACCCTATTAGGTTTTTTTCGAGAAATTTTTTGGTTCTTCCCAACATTATCTTATTAAAAACTACATTTGTTAGGTAATTATAAGTACTATCGAGCAAACTTCAGTAAACTATATTACCGAAATGGAAAATTTCTTTCGTTGTTCAATCAGCACTTATTATAACAACATAACAAATATATATTTATTAAGAAAAAGTAAATATGTTGAGGTAGAAAATAACAATACATGAAATTTCTGTGATCATTCTTCGAGAAATTATCTTGAACACTTTAGTATACTGTCTTCTGACTGACCAATTGTTTGTAGTTAGCATCACAAACTGGATGACTTAGACAGCCAATAAAAGTTTAGGAGAACTAAACAACTAATTCAACTTTGTATGGAACTTTTAGCTGTTCATAATAGGTATATACGGTCTAATTGTTGTGGTTGTGGCCTGTCTGATTATCACGTAATTTAGACGCCAATTAGAATACGACTTAACACTGTGCCACAACAATGACGTATTGACCGTTAAGAGCATCCTAGCATCCTTACTGATCCTTTTTCTGACTAACCCTGGCTGTTGAGTCCAGAATGTCAGTATCAGCTTCTACTATATGAATCAATTACTTCAAGCATACTTGGTTTATATACAAGTCAACCAGACCACATCACTCCATAAGTAAAAAAAGTAACAGTTGTACAAGATCAAGACAAAAGATACTGTGATTGTGACTGCAATGAATAAAGTAGGTATAACTTCAGAACAGTAAATCATATAATAATGGTCTATAGATCAAAATAAAGCTTATTATAAGAAAAATATAAATATACACAATTCAGTTACTCAATCGTTAAACAATAGTAATTTATGTACAATATTAGTCCATTGATTGCTCTCAGAAGTTACCCATAATTTAATCTTCTCTAGGATATAACACTAATGCTCTATGATTTTCAGCGGGATTGAGACTGAGATCACTCTGTGTCAAATACAAGCTACAATTCAAACCAATCTCTGAAACGTCTCTTCAACATTCAGCTTACTAGTGACTTCAAAATGTTTTCTGGAGTTCCAGTCTAAGGTCGTTACTGGAGTTTAGACATACATAAAGTGAAACGGTTGTCATCAATGACATTGAATGTATATTGACTGAAGTTATATCATTGAAACTCAACCCAGTAGTTCTAATGATTAGACATTTTCTGTGAAATCTGAAGGTCACAAGTTTGATTTCTAGTTAATCAGTGAGTGGTCCATCTATTAGTTTTCCATATTATGATGAAGTAGCCGTCTATTATTGGTTCAAGTTTTTAATAATAACTTTTTAGGTAGTTCGAAATACGTGTGAATCAGTCAAAAAAATGAAACAGTAGTTTTGGAAAATCTATCGTTTTTTACAATGTTACAGATAAATCTAGATAATAAATGTTAGAAAGGATGGAATCATATTCACTCTTTTCCTACTGGATTCTTCATATCCTTCAGCAAAAAATATTTAGTGAAATACGATATTTCATTACTGATACTTGTTTTAAGTTTTATTATTTTTTTATTGTAAATTTTCTGTGGTATAAATTATGCTGAAATTCACCATTTTTCTAATTAATTATCACTAGAAGCGCATTTCCATATTTTTCACTCTGATATTTGACATTTCCATCACATTACAAAATTCCACTTTAGACTATTGCTTTACGCAGTGAAACACAGGGATATGCACGAGTATGTTTGTGTCTCTTTGTACTTACCAGCATCTATTTTACATATTAATACAACATGGAATAGTGGTAAAGTTTGTTTAGATAGTGATTATAACTATTATTATTATTATTATTATTATTATTATTATTATTATTATTATTATTATTATTGTTATCGCCTTCATAATTGTAATTGCGATTATTATTATTATTATTACGTCAATTGAATATAAATTCACTACATTGACATTTCCAATTTAATATTGCATTAAGTTTTTCTTCCTACAACGTTTCCCTTTGTTACCCTAGTCACACTTGAATAACTTTAAAAAAAAGAGTAAATGCGTCTAAACACAAAACACTTTTCTGGTTAAAGATGAATAAAATTTTAGCCAAACAATTCAAATGCGCATATACAATGGGAAATGAGTTAGACTAATATCTGGACGCAGTTATGCATTCTATTAATGTACAAGTATGTATAAGGATAAATAATGAATATTCATGTATGCCTGTCTTACAGAATAGCCTCAAAGTATAGAAATACTACTTATTTGTCAGTTGAGATAAACCTTTTCACGTTGAAACAATAATAATAATGAAATACACTGTATTCCGTTTTTCTTTATATTATTTAAATCTTTTAATGACTAGAGATTTATCATCCAGCAATGCATATATATATATATATGCATATTTGTTGCGTGCCCACTTATTATATTGTATTGTTCTGTTTGTTTGTAATATTTTACTTATACTATTTGCAATAAATGGTGAAAGAAAGAAAAATGCAATCCATGTATATTTCTGGAGAAATTTGATGAAAATAGGTTAAAATTAAATAACATAAAAACTATTTTATCATTGTATATCTTCCAATCATTCTTATTATTAATAAATAATATGATTTTTGCATATACAATAGTACAGTGAAAGTGTATTATTACATATTATAATTGAATTCAGAAGATTTATAAAGTATAAGTTTAATATAAATATGAAATATATGAGGTTGATATAGAAAAAAAGTCCATAAATCCAGTTCATATGTTCATAAATTGTTACATCTATTATGAATTGGTTAAAAAAAAAAACAACTGACAATAACATACAGTATGGACAAAATTAAAATAGAAAACTAATCCATGGCTTGAGAACAGACAATCAATAATAATGGGTTCATTTAATCACAAAGAAAACATTCAAATACTTATCAATAACATACAATTGAAACAATTGTATGTGAGTTATTCATTGTTTCAAGATAAAATAGGTTTTTAATGAACTATACTTGCAAATATATTGATATATTTAAAGAGAACTAGAGAAAATGTAAGTTTGCTTAATAAATAAGAGGTAAGAGTGAGTGAGATATACTGAGTACGTGAAGGGTTCATTTGGTCAAAAATTATCAAGGATATGCAATTGTCATCATCAGACTTTCCATCCATAAATACTTGTAGGTTTCAATGATATTTGTTATGAAATTTAACAATACTAACGTTAATGCAGTCTTAACATCTTCCTTTGTTTCAATTAGTCATTTAATCATTTCATAGTACATCTTAATGACAAAGCTAGACACAAGATCATGTCAGATACTGTCGATTTCAACGAGAAACATTATTATAACAACTCAGTCAGACAAAACGTGTTTGAAATAAATAAGATTGAGTTATTTGCATGAATGTATAACATCAACTGTAGAATTATCAGTATGGGGGTTGTGGAGATTGTTAAGTTTTTTGGTTGAGATCATGAATTAATTGATGTTAGACCACCGTTGGAAACCTGGATGCACTGGACGGCCGTTTCATCCTAGTATGGGACTCCTCAGCAGTGCGCATCCACGATCCCGCACCCCGCGGGATTCGAACCCAGGACCTACTGGCTCCGCACCTGAGCACTTGACCATTAGACCACTGAGCCGGTATCCAATGGTGTTAGTGTCTAACATCAACCAATCCATGAAGGTGGTCGCGCAATTTCGTGGATTGGTTGATGTTAGACACTAACACCATTGGATACCGGCTCAGTGGTCTAATGGTCAAGTGCTCAGGCGCGAAGCCAGTAAGTCCTGGGTTCGAATCCCGCGGGGTGCGGGATCGTGGATGCGCACTGCTGAGGAGTCCCATACTAGGATGAAACGGCCGTCCAGTGCATCCAGGTTTCCAACGGTGGTCTAACATCAATTAATTCATGATCTCAACCAAAAAACTGTAGAATTATTGTATAATGCGTTATCCAACTACTAATTAGTTTGCTTTCTGTGTCCACACATTGTATCATACTGAAAGCCTCATTTCCTATCCCATAATTTCTGCTTGTGGTTATTGTGCGCCTATATTTTCATTTATCATAAAAACTATGCGAAACCTTGTGTTTCTTACCACATTGATACTGACTTGCTCTCTAGTTGATCCAATTAACATCTACTGACAGTCATAGGATTTAATCATACTGATTTGACATGCTGACTTGTGATTATCATGAGCTGTTACTGTAATTTGAGTTATTTTCATTGTTATTTTGTTTTCATTGACTTTTGTTGTTCTTTGTTTGTTCATCAATCTGAGTTCTTTTGTCATTATTATGTTTAATAAATTTTCTTTAATGGATTCATTATGTATGATGATCAAATTTTCAGTAATCTTTCAAATAAACTTAATAGTCACATTAACACTGAATAAAATATTAGTAATAATAATTAAAAAAATAGTTAACAGTTTTCCTCGTTTTTTCCATCCACCATCATTAAACTATCAATTAGTTTTTTTCTTCATATTATCCTCTTGTAAATATCGGTACATGACGAAACAAATAAGTTTTATATGGTTACTTTTTAACTTGGCCTTTATCGATCCATGCTCAATGATAATAGAATAATTACGAAACTTTTCAATAATGGCAATAAAATAACTCCGCCTGGAGTCCCTCCGGGGGCTACTGCCGGTCCCAAGCCCGGATAAAGGAGGAAGGTTGAGCATGCGATAGAAAACTAACTCACTAAAAAAACGCCAACCAGAAAAATTAATGGCAATAAAATGATTGGTAAATTACTAACGTAACTACCTTGTTATACGTTATTTACAATATTAAATGTTCAAATACACTGAACAATATGTGTAGGGTTTAAAGGTTCTTTTATTTTTTAAAACCAAAAAAATATGTTAAATAATCTAAATGAGTATTTTTTGTAATGTTTTAAAGTTAGTTCAAATAGATTCTTGTATTGGTTTGAGTCCCAGAGTGAATATCAACTCTGGAATGTGAGCACATCCAGCTGCCGAGTTCTAAATAGGACGATACATACGCTCTGGATTCCAATGCTAGTAGCCATCCATCTCTGCTTATAAAAGATTCAAATTGTTGTACTCTCAAAATTTAGATAAATCTTTATCTAAAATATAAAAAAAGAAATAATCTGTCATCTGAAGTTACATTCACTATATGAGATAAGCACAATTATGATAACTAGTATAGGGGTTGTGGAGATTATTAAGTTTTGATTGAGATCATGAACCGATTGATGTTAGACTACCACAATTGAAAACCTGGAAGCACTGGACGGCCGTTTCGTCCTATTGTGGGACTCCTCAGCAGCGCGCATCCACGATCCCGCTCGCGGGATTCGAACCCAGGGCCTTCGGTCTCGCGCGCAAACGCTTAACCAACTGGACCACTGAGCCGGCATCCGATGGTGTTAGTGTCTAACATCAATTATGATACTTTTTGTTTAAAAATTCATCCGGCATCATTTGAGTCATTTAAAAATTATGATTGTTTTTTTCTTATGTTTACATGTTGTTTTCAATTTATCATACCCTTGTGTCTATGACATAAGTTTCAATTTAATAAAAAAAGTATATATTTATTTCATATTTTCTACTTAAGATAAATCGTTCTCTGTCGGTTATCATTCTATTAATTTTAATGATTTATATTGAATTCTTATAAATATTTATGCATATTTATTTATTTGTAAGTATTAAGGCTATTTGTCTAAAGTGTACAATATAATTACACTCAGTATTGTTGTTTACTACTTAACTTGGGTAATATAAACCATTGTAAAGATTTATCACTATTATTATTATTATTATTATAAACAAATGATACAGAAAAGTCATTGTACACATGTCAAAGGTAAATGTGAAAGTATTTTATGAATAGATACGTAAATGTCAGATCTAAAGTGATTTTACATTTTATACTGTTGTTATCCTGATCTGATGGTGCTAAGTAACTCTTTTCGATTATGACTTCAAGAACTTTGTAGACTTTGTAAATTAATGAAAACAGAGAAAAATAATAGTTAAGAACTTATTGTACGGAATAATACCATAACCATTTTCTTTGCTCAATATTTACGGCTTAGAAGTTTTTAAAAAAATTTTATATTTGGCTCCTCTAATCATTAATTAAAAATAGTTTTTATACAAGAATATATCTATTTGGTTTTAAACTGTTTATTCTTTTTTTGGCTTAGGGTAGTGTGAAAATTTTCTATTCGTTCTATACCATGTTAATCTTCTCTCACCTTATTAATTTGTATACCTAAACTTTCATTTAACTGACCTTTATTATTCTTTGTATAAAATGCAATAATAGGTTTATGTATGACCGGATTGTAGGTATAATTACCAAGGTTTGACTTGATAATTTTATGTAAATTGAGCATTGAGTAGTACTATTTAAACTTGAGTTAATCTAATTTGGTTATTTATTCTCTGAAGAAGTGGCTTACTCTGAGTCACAAAACGTCATAAAATTTAATTTTTCTTCTCATGGGGACATTACAAATATATTATTCATAGGTATGACCGAATTGTTCGAAATGTATACCGTATTTACATCATATTTTTCAGATCAACTCCGTCTTCCCATTGCTCTATGGAAACTATAAGGATCATTAAAAAAAATAAACTTTTTAAATAAACTATTATAGTACTTTTTACTTGAAAGATTTTAAATGTAATTATGTTAAAATGATTTTGTTACAAGGAAAAAACAGACTCTTTCTCTCTTTATCTTTTTTCATTTGTACGTGCTCATTGTAAGCACGTGTAACTGTTATTGAAGTTTCCTTTAGTTTCTAAATGTCATTTAATATTTTTCCAATCTGTATATGCATACACACATATATATATTTATATGGATGTCTATTCAGTATGATCGGTAAGCAAATGGCTTTTTTTCTTTTATTTTTGCCGGACAGAATAGAGGAACTGTTGAGTTGTTCTAGTGTTGTAGAAGAGTTTTTCCTTTGGTTTAGTCAGTAAATTACATACTTATCTACATTTGTAATAAATCTCCGTTATATACATATAATATTCATGACAAAACTAAGCACATAAATATCTTTTTAATGTCCATTACTACTAACACTACTATTGGCATAAGTAAAGACAGATAACAATTGACAACTTGTACATATTGTAAATTACATTCATTTTAATTGATAAACAAAAAAAAATCAAAACAAAAACGTACATTATTGTTAATGTTATCAATGAATAGCAAAAACAATCAGTGACAATAAGAAGGTAAATCAGCCTCACAGTTATCATTTGTTTGTTTGAAAATGAATAAATAGACCGCTATTCTTTAAGATTATATATATGGTTAAAAGATGGAAAAGAGATTTATCAAAATAAACTGACAATTAATTAATTTGGCTACTTGTTTTTTCAACAGAAAACTACCATTACATATTGTTATTATTATATATAGATAGCGAGGGTTCTAAAATAATAAAGTAATGCTTTATTTTGGTTAGAAGGATCCTAAATATAACATCTTTATATGTTCAGAGAGGAGTCTTTTGGATGTTATAGTAATCTAATAATTGAATTTATGGGTCAGTTGAAGCTAAACCACCATGGAAAACCTGGGAGCACTGGGTCGTGGATGTGCACTGCTGAGGAGTCACATACTAGGACGAAATGGTTGTCCAGTGCTTCGATTTTGTTTATCTGCTTCACGACTGGATGCTTTCTATTTTTTACGAATGACCTAGAAAGTCATGTGATTTGATCATGGTCATTTAGTCTTTTGTATCCTTACCGTGCAGATCTGTCACTCTTATTCCTTGTTTACTATGTTTTGTTTTGATTGTCCACTTATCTATTCTTTCTGGACTGTTTTTGACTCCCTGCGTTCAACGAATATCTTAATCAGAAGCACCGTAATTGAGGATTAGTAATTCATAACTCTAACTTCATATCCATTTATCATACAGCATTTACGATGTTTGAAAGGTACCTGTAACCCTTGACTTTGGCTTCATATTGATTGAAAATCAATTTGTTGTACCCATGTTTTAAATTGGAGCTTGCCGTTTACATTGATGTAGATATGACGAATGTAGTTAAAACTGGTTGCTTATTTTATTGTATCAAAATTTAAATGATGTCTAGAGATATGATATTCACTGTATTAACTGGAAATAATGGGCTCGATCCTCAATGTGGTCTTCGGTGTGCACTATAAAGGGGTTTGTTAAACGTGAACAACCCAGCTAACTAGCACTTTTCCTCTTTTTAGTTATCCCTCCAGTTGACATTCAGTCGTAACAAAATCATTTTCAAACAATATAAAAATAGTTTCAATGGTTGAGATCATGAGTCAATTGAAGCTAGACCACTATAGAAAACCCGGAATCCCTGGACGGCCGTCTCATCCTATTGTGGGACTCCTCAGCAGTGAGCATCCACGATCGTGCCTCGCAAGATTCAAACCCAGGACCTATCAGTCTCGTGTGCGAGCGCTTAACCACTAGACCACTAAGCCGGCATTCAACGGTGTTAATGTTTAACTTCAAACAGTCCACGAAATTACCATTGAAATTAATATCATATCCACAAAAACTCTTCTGATATGAATAGAAAAAAGCCTAAAATACGACTTCATTTGATAATTGTCATGACCAGTGTTTTCGTTCAAAAGACCTTGACATAATTATAGGTGTTCCATTTGAAATGGCCGAATCCAACTGCTGCATCGAGATAAAAGTATTGGTCAAATCTGTTTAGCAGACGTTTAATTTGCATTTTTTATAACATCATTGTTTTTTATTTCGCTTATAGGCAGATAATCATTTGGATTACAGCCAGAAAAACTATTAATTTTTTATGATCTTCAACACCTCGAAATCTGATACTGATTCATGACAAGAAAAATATCATTGAAACTGGTTGATATTAAAACGCATGAGGTTGATTTTTCTTTAGTCTTAACGAAAAATTCTCAGGGTATGATAATAAATATTATAAAAATAATGATTGGTTTGAACATTTTCCAAATACATGCACAATATGTCTAAATGTACATTGTTTTCATCTAAATATGTGATGTTATAGCATACTGAAAACAAATTATCACTGATTTTAATCATGTTCAAACTCTAATTTAAACAAATGATTACTAGATTACTAGTGATCTAGATCTGATTAATTATTAAAAAGGTACGCGGTGCACAAATGATCGACTTTTATATCTATCTGAAAACGATAATAACAAATTATGTTATTTTTAAAAGAGTACGAAAAGAGGTGTGAAAAATGTTCAGTGATTAGAGGTGCACATGCAAATAACATAATAAAATTACAGTTGTTTTAATTGTCTACCAAATGCCCTGGTACGGCCGAGAGTGGGCAGAGTCAACTCTCCCTCTCGAAATGCTCTCAAATGGCTACATGTATACAGCCACTGCTAGGGAAGTCCTACTCAATGTCTTCTCGTGGCGGGAGTGTTGTTTACAAAGTTGAAAGGACGAAAAGCAAATGTCCGGCACCTTAACCGGGTTGATAGACACGGAGAGTCCATCTAGGGGAGTTGGAAAACCCTGATTACAAACTAATGGTGTACATGGGCTCCAGGATCCTAAGGAAACAAATAGCGTATGAACCAATTGTTGGTCAACACCTACCATGGGACTGCATCCCCTTACGTTGCTTCACTGCCTTGTGGATTAGACGTTTAGTTCGAAGGCTCGAAGTGTGACCCCCTAACAAGACCACCTGCTTCAGTTTGGTCACCCGGTTAGTAACCCATCTCTCACACAAATCAAATGATTTATATAGCGCATATCTATTCGGTGCCTCCTTGTACCAATGTTTATGTGTTCAAGTAAATAAATAAGTAAATGTTTCAATCTTATTCATTGAAAATGCACTTTATTTGGTTACTGAAGTGAACATTTATTTGTTTGAAGATGAGATTTTATTGCGTGCTAAAAGCATCAAGTACTTGTTTTTAACTTAGACGATGCTTAATTATGATCAGTGAAGAGATTTATTCAGAAAGATCAATAAGTAATTGGGATTACTACTCTATATCACAATACATTATGCAAATGCAAAGTAAACTGATTCTTTTCTAAATCATAATGAAGTAATGGATATGAATTCCGAATGAAATTACAACGAATTTAATATGTTGTTCCAATTTAATATAAATAAATAACAATTCAGGAAAGTATAGTACTTTGAATACAAATGCTAGTAGAATAGTAAATGAATAACCTACCAATAAGACACCACCGGTTGAAGAAATTCTCAGAATATAGTGAAAATTTAAAATAATTTGAATAATCAAACAAATTCTCTTATTAAACAGCAAACTACTCTAAAAATTGAAACAAATTAAACAAGATTGGAAGCTATGTATATCTAGAAGACAAATGATATTGTTCTTGACAAAATTTCATTATTGTGTTTAAGTTATCTATGAGAAGTGAAATTAACCGGTTGTAGGATAGATACAAACTTAGTGAGAAATGTAAGATTTCGAAATATTATCAGTGTCTAATGAAGCGAGAGCAAACAGAGACATGGTAATGAGTATGCAAGTAGTGTAGTATATTCAATAGTAAACAGTAAAATATTCAAATGTTTCGAATCAAATGTTAGTTAATCTGATATTTATTAGCTTTATTTACACGATTCCTCTTCGATTAGAAAAAAAAACTCACAAATGTGGTATATTAATACATAAAAATAGTTTCTTCTCCTTAATATTTCCTGTCTGAATAGAAACTATGTGCAAATTATCAACGTGGTGTGTATGAATGTGTGTATGTCTTTGAAACAACATAATCTAATAAAGACTATATGTATGATACAGTATAATGTAATATCTTTATCTTCCTCTCAAAATATAAACATTTTTCATCTATGACTGATATCCCAAGGGAAATTGTAACAATCCATTAATGCACAGTAACACATAAAATGTACGATGGAGTAATAAGTTGTATTAACGTGAGTTGTCCAATATTATAAGTTACAGCAGTATTAGTAGTATGATCATGACAGTGTATGATTCTAGTTTCCGTAAAGGTCAAATTATTCATCACACTGAAAATTAACGACTCTTAATTTATATTTTTATTGCATTGTTACTGTTTGAACTCTGGAAGACACAAGATCTATTACAATGACACATAGAGGAGTCAGAATTCAAGGACAGAATAATTCTTAATTTTTTAGTCACACACTGATATCAAATATGCAACGCTAGATAACAGTGGTTATTTAAGGACCCACCAGAAACGATTCATTTAAGCTCAGTGTTTTTTTCCTGTAAAACTAGTTTTTTGGACATACGGGAAGGTACTTTTGTTTTAACATTTTTTTGTGCAAAATGTAAACAATCATTTTTATAACGCGTAAACCAAACAATACATTGTTTATTTTTCCAAATAAGACAAAACATTTTAATGTTTACAATTATGCATGAATTGTAGTTATACAAAAGTGTTACATTCAAGTTATGATTGATTTATCGAATAGTGAACACACTATGTACTGTACTTGATACCTGGATATTTCGTTTCGTTCTTTGCATGATTCCATAAATTTAAGGGTTGACTAATATAACAGTATTACATATATATGATGTATTACAATTTTATTCATACATATTCAGTGGTAATTCTTGATTGTCTTTCTTTCCTACTTAGATATGTATACAATTCGGAATGTAAACGTTTATGCTTCTTAAAATGTCATCTTAGAATTATACGCAGTTTTGTTATAATTTTTGCATTCAGTTCTCTTTAACAGTTAGTTTTCTTTCTACTTTCTTCTACAAAATACATTTAAATTTGACAGTTGTTTAAGTTTTATTAGAGGACATCAAGTTATCTAATTATATATAAAGTGCATCATAGTGTATATGATATACTTCATTAAATTTTACACAACCTATGACTAACTTCAAAGCTCGAGTTCAGCTTCATTCAATTCAGTTTTATAAGCTACTTTTGTCGCAAAAGGTATCTTTGGAACATGAGTAAAAACAAACATCACTATGGTTACTGAATTATGAAACTAGATAGATACAGAAATAGAAAGTCTGGTAACTTGCGACTTAAAACAGTTGAGTTTAACTACTAAGTTGAATAGATATGTATATCATTTCAGCTAATTCCATTTGAGAACAGAATCGCACAGTAAAAACATAATGAATAATCAATCTTCCATAGACTTTTCTTCACTCCAAAAATATGTTGACTATTTTGCTTTAATAATGGATAAATGAAAAGCATTGAAAATGATGAAATCAAGTAACAATGACTAGTAAAATATAGAATAAATAAACAGATTATGTTATGCAACCTTCGTAGGTAGTTATTAATATCAGTTAATACTAAATCTACTGAAATATGTGAATCGCTAGATAGTTATCTTGTCCTAACCTAGAAACTGAACTTTATTGCATATTTAGCAGTTACACACTAAGTCAAATTCACATTTAAAAAATATATTTATGACAAGGATACCGTTATTCATTTATGAAAACCTAATTTCATTTACTGTGTTATTTAATCAAAATTATCGATGAATAAATATCACATTATCAAGATGATTAACCTTATTTTGTCAGTTCTAAAAGTTGAGTAAATTCACTTTGAAGCTAATATCTAAAGGCCAATTTACCATACCTTTATCGTTAAGTTAATTTTATATAATGAGTTTCATTAATAATAAACATTAATTCCAGAACTTTTGTGCATATATATAATTCTAGATTTAATGCACTACTTCAAGGGTTATAAATAAATAATATATTTGTAATATCTCAATGAGTAGAAAACTTAAATTTTCTGACGTTTCGTGGCTTAGTGTAAGCCACTTCTTCAGAGAATAAATAACCGGATTAAAATTAATCCAAGTTTAGAGAGTACAACGGAAAAACAATTACAAAGAAAGGAGAGTAGCTGAAGCATTCTATATAACGCTTAATCCTACTGCTCTCAATAGAAAAGAAGGGCCTTACCATACATTCTACTTGCACTATCTATCCTAACCACCTAGTATGATATTATTCACAATTCACACTATTATCTTACAAATTAAACTCTATCCTTTCTCACCATGAATACCACACATTTTTCATCCATATATGTGTTCACATACACATACACACACAAATTACATACATTCGCTTGTGAATTACCCTGACCGAAATGATATTATGATATTACAAATATATCATTTATTAATACCAATATACTCAATTCATTCTAAATTATCAAGTCAAACCTTGGTAACGATACCTATTTTAAGGGTTGCTTGTAATAATCTAATGAAACTTTTCCATTAGACTCTAGATAGAAAATTTTCAGTTTATTCGTGTAAAAATTGTATTGCTGACTTCAAGAGATGAGATGATCTGGAACTTTCCAGGTTCACTTAATATTTGGTATCCTGGACTTTCGGTTATTTTTCCATTTATTTAGTAGGTGAATGCTGCATTTTCATTAAATATTTTATTTTAAGTTTTAACGCTAACTAGATTTTTTCTCCATTTGGCTTTTTAGACTGTTCTAACCCTGGACATATTTATAGAAGATAACTCCAGCCAAGACAAGAGTTTGCTTCATGCAATTCACAGTTTATATATATAAAGCATTGAGCTATCCTTTACTCATATATTATCACTGTTGAAATGTATCCAAAGTTAATGTAAATTACTGTAAATAATCTCATGGGGAAGGGAATACCCAAAAGAAATGCCTATGAACAATAAAAACATTTACATGTTTTAAGCATGACTGATTAAATGTTAACACCTGTAGCTGAAATAACTAATGTTTTATCAAGTTACTATCGCTATTCACACTATTATTATTATTATTATTATTATTATTATTATTATTATTATTATTGTATGAAATATATCATCAGTGTCTTATTCATTAAATTATGTATGCCTTGTCTCTTTTGCATTAAAAAATATGACCAGTCATATATAAGTGTGAGTCATCCCCTTTCGTTGTTATAATTTGCTTTTAGATAATTTTTTATATAAATTTAAAACATTGTTATGATAATTGTGTTCTTTGTTTGTTTGAACAGTAGTAATATAGCATTGGGTTTCCGTTAACAATATGAAAGTAGTGTACGGAGAGATCGGTGATCAAAGATTGTCGGTAGGATAACCTGGACTTAGATTTCATACAATTTTGCGGGTATACCATCCTGTGTCATCTGATTACACAGTAGCAAAAGTTATGATGAGGCATTCAAGCCATGACTGGTCTCCTGTCGGGCTGAGAGATTTACACTTATTGGTCGTTTTTATCCTGCACGTAAGGCTGACAACTAGCTCAAATCCTAAGTCAGTCAGGATTTCCTGCCAAAAACTTTCAACCATTGAGCATAAAAAACGGTGTTCATGACATCGAGTCTCTTAGACTGGTGGTGACATTACAACTTGATAGATAGAATCAGTCAGCAATAAGAACTAGACAAAGTTGAGATTGGTCACTACTCCGTGATTAATGAATGTATGAAGTGATAGAATAAGATGAGGCCATATTTGAACATTTCCTAATAGGTAAGTCCCTAGCGCAGCGGCTTTCCAACCAAGCTGGAAGGGCCAATGAACATTTCAACATGATTAGTATTGGCATTACTTTGGTTACTTTTCAACACAGACAGAAATCTTTTAAGGAACTAATGAAAACATTAAGAAGCACATTATTTTTCCTTGGTTTAAAACCCTTCAATATTGTGTTTGCGAGGCTTCATAATAGAATAAACACACAACTTACTGAACTTACTTTACACAATACACCACTGAGCCATTGATTTCATATTCAACAGTTTACACTATCAAATATCAGTTTAATCAAATTTTTTCGTGAAATCATTGAGCAATAGTATCAGATATTTAACACTTAACCATGTTGAATCTCATCAGTCATGATACCTCACAAGAACTTTCAAGAAAATGAATCTCAAAGTTAATCGTGAATACATATACATATACAGAAGTGTTTATTCGACGTACAAAGAGCTATTCTCAGGAAAATGAACACTTATTCAGACCGTTATAACTTATTAAGATATATAAATAGTTGATATCATCTACAAGACTATATGGATAATTCGAATTTTGGTGACAATTTTTTTCTAAAAACAATGTAAAATTATTTAAACTGTATGACTGTATGTATTAACATGTTACCATAGGACAGATTAGTCATTTTCAGTTATGACTATTCCGAATGACAATTAATCATTATTAAATTTATGTAATTTATCTAAAACATAAAAAAAGATGATACAGTGGAAAGGTCAATTTAGACGTTTTAGCACACATGTTACTTGCTATCTAGTTTGTTTGAAATCGTTAATTTTTCGGTTATGGGGTTAATTTTTTTGACATCTCATATAATTGTAGTTACTCTTTATGCTCGAGTATATTCTATCAACTTTAATCTCATTAATCAAGTTAACTGAACATCAAAAGCTTAGAAATGTACTGTTGATCAATTTCTCCTGAAGAATAGCAAGACCATTAACGGAATTATTATGCTTAGGCATTAAACAACACTTAAATATGATTTATCATGTGAAAAGATATTCATGTCAAATAGACGTGTGTTAAATATAGGCTGATTTAGACTTGTTTTATATTATTATCATATGATAAATAATTTTCTTGTTGACGACTTGCGACAACGTTAATCATTTTAGGTAGTTCATTGACCACAGATAAATATGTGGCTCGGACGTTTATGATGTTGCAATTTTTATACTGTTATCCTTTTTCATGATAACATGTTTTTCTACACTCACATCAGCATTCTCAACTGGATCTATCGAGTTGTTACTAATTAGAGATAAGTTGGAAAAGTTTATGTGATCAATTATTGCTTTTAAACTAGAAGAAATGATTAATGATTATTTATGTTAAATAAACATTGCACAAACTGCTCACTTTTATTTTCCAGATTTCAATGGAGCCTAGTCATACTTGCCAATTACAATGGACATGTGTGACTGCGACCCAAATGTTGCTATTATTTTTGTAAACTGTAATGAAAATTCTCACAAACAA